AATGAAAACAAGACTATCATAGGAATAGGACTTTAAATATTTTAATCTTTAAATTTTTTTTTTTTGTTTGTTTGTCTGCGTTGGGTGTGCTGCGTTAACCATGAGGCTGATTATTGTCGGCCAGGAGGGTTGCAGCATCCTCATAAACTAAACTAAACTAAACCGGTTGGGCGGCTTGCTATGCATTAGAACTTTTGAACATGATCGATGTTTCATTATGGATAATTAGCAGAAGAAAATAAATCTGTAGGCATGGCACAGATTTAGACATCCTGTTGCCTGAAATTACTGTAATTATTTTAGGTGCTAAGCCTGTTCTCCACTGTTCAAGAAGCACGCATTTTATTTGGCTGATTTGTATTATTGTTACGAATTTGGTATTTAAAAAGCTAATGTTAGTTCAATTATAAATTAAATGGTTTTATTTCTCGCGCAGTGCAGCGCGTGACGAATATTAAAAGAAAGCTAAGCCGGAAAATTGAAAATACAAGAGCGCATGCATTAAATAAATAAATATCTTTTTGATTTCGAGAAAGTACTGGAAAATTCTAGCGCGTGATTTTAAATCTTATAAAAGGAGGAAAACATCTCAGTTTGTAGTAGTTGCTTAGTTTGTTGTTGTTTAGAAAAACTGGTCTTGTCGATTATAGCGAATTCGCGGATTAGCGTTCTTTAGCTGTTTTGAATTACGTTCCTATTGGACTTTGAGTAGTTAAAAGATAACTACTGTGAGATATTGTAATACTGCATGATAATTTGAGAAAATTTAAGCATTTTTGTTGTGGTAATAATAAATTTTTGTTCATTTTTCATCGGACTTGTGCATTCATTTCATAACGAACCCGTACGCGCGCAACAATTTTTGGTGTCAGAAGTGGGATTTGAATGCCAATCACAAGAGCGATGGAAGAGCAGTTAAGACAGCTGATATCAGCCTTTGCTGCATTTAAAGAGGAAATGAAAACAGGTCAAGAAGAAATGAAAGAGGAAATGAAATCTAATCAGGAAAAGATTGAAGCGGGACAGGAAGAAATGAAAGCGGGACAGGAATCCGTTAAAGACGAGATGAAATCTATTAAAGACGAGATGAAAGCAGGTCAAGAGGAAATGAAAAGAGAAATTACCTGCGTAATAGTAAACAAATTCGAGGCTAGAGAAGGTAGAATAGTAGACTCTGTTCGAAAGTAAGGTTGGAGAAATTAAAGAAAGAGTCTCCTCCGTTAAAGAACAAATAGAAGGGAGAGTTTCTGCTGTGGAGGAACGAATTGAAGGAAGAGTTTGTGCCGTCCAACACCAAATCGAACAACAAATTGATGATAGGGTTTCTGCAGTAGCCAAAGAAGTGGATATTTTAAAGAAATTCATAGCGACGGCAAGGAACAATAGTGATGGCTTTAAATTTCTACCCATGCCTGCTCGTCCCTCTCTGAAGTTATCTACATATGATGGGAAGACCACCTGGCAGATGTATGAAACACAATTTTCTATAGTTGCGGCTGCGAAAGGATGGGATTCCCAAGCTAAGGCCTGTCATCTCGCCGCTTCTTTAAGAGCTGACGCAGCGGATATCCTTCAGACTCTTCCCGAAAACAAAAGGTTAGATTTCGAAGCTCTGTCCGGCGCCTTGGAGCTGCGCTTCGGGGAGAAATGTTTAAAAGAGATGTTTAAAGCAGGCTCCAATTAAAATCCCGTCAACAGAAGCTCACCAAAACACTTCAGGAGCTCGCCACGGATGTTGAAAGGCTGTCACATCACGCCTTTTCGGAGTGCCCGAGAGAAACGAGGGAAATCCTGTCGCTGCAATATTCATCGATGGCATCCGGGACCCTGAAATACAGAAAGCTCTTCGAATGGTAGATGTAAAGGACATAAAAAGCGCTCTGTTGTACGCATGAAGTTCGAGGCAGCCCAGCCCAGAAGCAATAGTCGAGATCGCTACCCAGTTAGAGCGTGCGAGTCCATGAGCAGTGGATCAACTGATGGCTCGTTTAGATGATTAGCCAGACAAGTCGACGCTTAATACGGAGTAGGAGCGAGAAGAAAGTGGCTCTAAGGTGTTGGAGATGTGTGGTAGTGAAGGTCACCTAAGACGGAATTGCAGAACACCCCAGGGTACGGAATATAAAGCAGATGATTTTACCAGACAAGTCAGTGGCTTGAGACGGAACAGAAGTGAAAAGAAACTAGTTCTAGAGTGCTGGAACTGCGGAGTTGAAGGCCACATAAGAAGAAACTGCAGAAGTTACGGAAAATAAGACCATTTCCCCGAGTTACGGAAAATAAGACCATTTCCCAGCAACGACGCAGTAAACAAATTAGTGACCATATCGAGGAACGGAGGTTGCCAGATAATGAAAAACTTTGCTTTAAAGCGCTTAAAAATTTACACAGTGAGTGGCAACAGTAACGGAGTGTCCATTAAGGAAATATATCGATGGAATTCCTTGCAATATGATCATTGACACAGGAGCTAATGTTACCATCATTAGGAAAGATGTAGCTGAACAGTTAAAGATAAATTTATTTGGACGCCATCCTGTGTTACCCTTCAGATGCGTCTGGTGACAAGATCGAGATAGCTGGGAAGTTAAACGTGAACATCCCGTTTGGAAGTACCGCCTACATCACACGGCATATGTGGCGGATATACAGATCCATGGCATACTCGGATTGGACTTTTTAAGGAAATACAATTTTTCCTTAGACTTCAAAAACAATAAGCTGTTCTCAGCATCTGAAGACATGACGATCCATCTTCAAAAGGAATCATCGCCTGGAAACGACGACGTCTCATGTGAAAGACCCTATTCAGAAAGCTGCCGAAATCCTACTAGGGTGGGAAAGAAACACCAGACTACCGGGTATTCACCATCACAGATGCTCCCGGGTCGAGACCTTCGTCTGCCTTGTGCCCGCCTCTTTGATCGCCATACGGATGCGCCTTCATCGCCTGAGGAACACATCCAAGATGTCCAAGCCCGTTTTGAAGTGAGGCACCGTTCCGCACGAAAGCGAGTGAACTTGGCGACGGAGAAAGTGAAGACCAGATACAGCACGAGAGCTACTGGACATAGATCCAACAAAGGAGACAAGGTGGGGTTGTGGAACCCGATTCAACGAAAAGGACTGAGTCCTAAATTACAGTCACCTTCGGATGGTCCATATACAGTGCTGAACACGAATGATGTCGTGGTTCGGATTCGTAAGTCTTCGAACTCTAAACCTAAAGTCGTTCATTACGACAGGTTAGCTCATTACTATGGCCATAGTACATAATGTAAATAATTGTAAATAGTATCAGACCATGGTCCTTTATGTTTTTAAATGTGTATTTGATTTGATTTGTATTTGATTTGTATTTAGTATTTGATTTGCATTATATTTGATTTGCATTTAGTATTGATTTGCATTTAGTATTTGATTTGTATTTGATAGCATTTGATTTGTTTATTTATTGCATTTATGTTTCATGTTGTTTGATATTGTAATGTAAGTTTATGCCTCAGTGCATTTATACCACAGTTGTAAGTTTAGCTTCCTGTCCAGGGATTGTACTGCCCGGGATGTGCAGTCCTTGGGAGGGGGCAGTGTTACGAATTTGGTATTTAAAAAGCTAATGTAGTTCAATTATAATTAAATGGTTTCATTTCTCGCGCAGTGCAGCGCGTGACGAATATTAAAAGAAGCTAAGCCGGAAATTGAAAAACAAGAGCGCATGCATTAAATAAATAAATATCTCTTTTTGATTTCGAGAAAGTACTGGAAAATTCTAGCGCGTGATTTTAAAATCTTATAAAAGGAGGAAAACATCTCAGTTTGTAGTAGTTGCTTAGTTTGTTGTTGTTAGAAGACTGCTCTTGTTGACTGTAGCGAGTTCGCGGATTAGCGTTCTTTAGCTGTTGAATTACGTTCTATTGGACATTTGAGTAGTTAAAAGATAACTACTGTGAGATATTGTAATACTGCATGATAATTTGAGAAAATTTAAGCATTTTTGTTGTGGTAATAATAAATTTTTGTTCATTTTTCATCGGACTTGTGCATTCATTTCATAACGAACCCGTACGCACGCAACAATTTTATTTGCAACGTATTTTATTTGGCTGATTTGTATTATCTATTAAAGCTATGCTAGCGTTTTCATTAATGGAAAAGGTAGACTTTCAGTTGAACCTTTAGTACTATCAAAAGACTTCTGCCTTAGACTCTCTGATGGTCTGAATGCTCCGTTTTTGAATCCTACAGCCACCTGAGTATTAATGTACCTCGTATCTTATTTACTTTAGGAGAGTGGACTGAAACGAAGGATGATTTATAAATGAAAATTTTATTTCGATTATTGTTAAATTAAGCGAATGATATGAAATCTTCCGTAATAACAAACACTACAACCCAACGGAATCATTTAAACAATTTTTTCCAATTTCTTGTGTAGCGGAAGTCGATTTAACTGACATTACGAGCTCTCTTAAAGCCAAGGAGCAAACTTCAATTAAAAAATCATAGTAAATGTAGCTTTATCTTCAAATACGATAGCCGATTAAGATTAACAATCTCATTAATATTTAAATTTCTTCATATAGCTGCTTAAAGTGAAAATTAATATTTAATTTTCATCATATAGCTACTTGTATGTATTTGCTTTGTTAAACATAATTAGAGTTTCACATGAAGGTTTAATCAATTTTAAGGTTGGAGGGAATCTTCTCATTTAATATAAAATTAAGTACTACCATGTACAAATACAAGGCAGTATTTTCTGAAATATTAGTAAAAGTTTCTACCCGTAAAACTTTTCGGAAGTGCAGCAATCTTAGGCAAGTTAATAAAAAAGTATACTGCCAGCAACGAGAAGCGTGAATGTTATTTATGCAGGTGAAATAAATTTTTATTTCAAATATCCCGAAATTGAAAACATTCGCGATTTAGAGAATGGCTAGAGAAGAAGGAGGTTGGATTTCTGACGGATTACTTTCTCTAGTGTAGTGAGTTCAGTGCTAAATTTAGCGTATAGAAACAGGAAGGGGAGAAAGATGACGGAGATGGCGGAGGAAACGCAAGGACAACTATCACAGTAAGTCAGCAGATAGCAGCTGTTTCAGTATAGAATGTAGCACAAGAGCTACCTATACCTTTGTTTACCGGCTGAATCTCAAGGGAATGAACTTTGCATCAAGTCTTTCCATCGAGCATTCTGCATCATTTGACGTCCAAAATACGATTTTACGCTCACGACTCATGCGATCGAAACCAACATAGTCGTTTCTCGAGATTTCAAAGGTTTTTACTGTGTGCATTTTGAAGATTTCACTAAAAAAAAAAAAAAAAAAAAAAAAAAAAAAAAAAAAAAAAAAAGAAAAAAGATACTTTAAGTACTTTTACTTTCGGTACTTTAAGTTATTATTTTATTTATCATCTCTAGTGACTGTAAAGAGAAAAGGGTTGGTAGCTCTGTTTTTGATGAAGGTTTTGATTTATTTTCATTAAAAAGAAAAATGACTTTTGGAAAATAGTAACATTAGCAACTAACATATAATTGTGATGCTAAAGTGACTAAGAAATATAAAAACAAAATGGCTTTGAAAGAATACAGAGTCAATTCTGTTGAGGTGAAAGAAAGTGAACGACCTCAGCATCGTTACCTTGTGTTAAGGAAGCTTGGTCAAGGGACATACGGGAAAGTTCAGTTAGCTTTAAACAAGGAAACGAACCAAGAAGTAAGTTTTTATTATTTAGTAAATACAAAATATAATTTTAAACCATTTCTCCATCTTTAAAGCTTAGTATAAAAATTTCAGTGCACTTTTGTTTGTTATTAAATGAAAGTTTGCAATTTTTAACTAAATAAGCTTGTAATTAAATGCAATATCAGTTATATATATTTCAGATAATAAAACCAAAATAATAACATAAGGTAATAAAAAAAGGTGCATAGAGGGAATATAATTGGGCAGCTATTTTAGTTTAAATAAAATGAAGAGGGGGATTAAAAAAAGTTGACTACAGTTTGTTTAGAAAACTTGTTTTATAGCATCAATTCTCAACCGGTGGTACGCAAGAGAAAAATAGGTGGTATGAAAAGAAACAAAGTATTTTTAACTATTAAATTCAAAACTCTCATGAAGGAAAAGAACAATTGATAGAAATTTCCTGTGACCGAACTCTAACTGAAGATTTAAAAAATAACATACTCGTAATCTTTTGTCTGAATCGAAAAAAAGAATTTAAAGGCATCTCAAATAAAACTATTACATTTTTATTGCTCTCTTGCACTTTGTTATTTTTCACAACTTATTTGTGAGAACAAAGATTTTCTTCTATGTTATATTTAAAAAATACAGAAAATTAAAAAAGGCTCCTAACTTACAGTTAAAAACTAAGTGAAATAAGACCAGACATATAGAAATTGATATCTCTTAAATAGGCCCAAATTTCAGAATGAATTTATAATTAAAATATTGGGTTCCCAACCTCTTTGTTCCTAAGAACACATTCTAGAATACCTGTTGGACGGCAGGCGCCACTTACTTTTTCAATCTGAATTTATAGTTGGATATAGTTAATAATACATGCACATAAAAAAAGAGATCGGTCGCATTTCGCTTTGTGTTGGTATCTGTGTTGGACGCAATTTCTGTTTATAATTAAAAATGAGAAAACTTTCACATAGAATTTTATTGAGAACTAAAACATGATTGCACAGCGGCTGGCACACGATAAACGATCGGCGGGCACCATGGTGCCCGCGGCATAGGGTCGGAAACTCTTGACTTAAATTCTGATAATTAAAATGGTAACCAATTTTTAATCTAATATTTTTTATGTTTGCACATTTAATACAAATAACCAATAGGTTGTGCAAATGGCAAAATTTTTAATTTTTTAATACTTCTATCAAGAAATTGAGAAATAATGATTGTAAAATGTAGTGGTGTTACAAATGTTTTTCAGTTTTTGTTTAGATGGTGCACGTTAATTAAAAGGTTGAGAAACACTGCTTTATAAGAACAGAGAAAGGAGTGTGGGAATTAATAAATTACGTTTCACCTCAGACTTCAACATTAGTTTGTTATTTGTAACATAATGGCTTAAAATATTTTTGTCTTAAAACGATAATTTGTCTTAATTTGTCTTAAAACGATAATTTGTCTTAATTTGTCTTAAAACGATAATATTTTTGTCTTTTATTTTTGTCTTAATATTTTTGTCTTGTTCCGTATTACCTGATTGAGAGTTCTCAAGTAATTTTTTTAACTCAAAGTATTGTGTATAAAAATAATTTTCATATGTGATAAATCAGATCTGTAATGTGGCTGCTCAAGCAACATGTCTGAATAATAATGATACATTATAAAGTATTTAAACGGAATGAATTTTTTTCTCAGTTGCACATTTCTAAATTTATTCTAATTCATTATCACAAGTAGCAGAATAAAAACTATTGTTAATATTTATATAAAACACTAATGAATCTGTGGAAAATCCTTCTAACTGAAGATTTTTGAGACTATTATAGAGTACTTACTCACACTGTATTTTAATCCATAAGAACTCATGAATGCATGTATGTAAGGTATATTCCTTTAGGAATTCAATATGACTTTGAAATCATTCATCTATTTATAATGTTACTATATTTCTTAATTTTCAAAAAGAAAAGGAAAAAAAAAAAAAAAAAAAAAAAAAAATGATTTGTTAAATGTAATTTGAGTACCACAACAGCAAATACCGCGAAAGCAAAAATCGACATTTTAAGCCCCGTTAAGATAAATATCGACTTTGAATGAGCCACCATTGCTTGTAGAATGACATTCATTTATTGTGTAGTTTGGTTTGGGTTTAGTTGATTATGGCAAAGCACACTAGGACTACCTGCTTAAGGGGAGGGACTTCTTCTTGGAGAACTTTCTAAGGGAAACTGGTTCGTATACGCATGGGAAAAACCACGAAAACACATGTAGCTAGCCAGTTCGCCTGGAATCGAACCCAGGTCGGAACTACTAGTTGTTCAGCTATTTTATCCCTCAGCAGCCGGTGGGTCCCATTTATTGTTTAGATTCCTTTTCTTTTGAAATATTTTATAACGTACAGCTTATTGATTATTTTGTATTTAAATTTTGTTTAGGAATTTTTCTTGGAATTTTTATTCAATTACAACAGTTTATTTGCAACGAACTGAACATTTAAATGTCTTTATTTAGTAGTTTGTTTGCAATTTCTGATTGTCAGAAATGATTTTCTTCTTGTCATTAGAGACTATATGGAAAGTAATTTATTTGCAACAAAAGTGCATTTCATTGCACAGTTGTAATAAAAGAATGATGAAAAATTAGTATTTGGGAAAAAGAAATGGTTAAAAGCAAGATTATAGAAATGAATGTAGAAATCTAAATGAAAAGGAAATTGTTAGTTGAAATGATAATTTTCTCATCTGCTTATGTAATGAAGCAATTTTTAGTTTACTTCATTCGCTTTGAACAAGAAATTGCTGTTGTTAAAGCATACTATAAACACTTTAAACAGAAGTTTTGTTATTTTAGAGAGAATATTAAGATTACTCCGATAGATTCAATTAAAAAGTTTAATTTTATAAGTAATGATAATTCCAGATATTAATCAGATAGATAGATTTTAATAGATAATCACAGGTCCCATGAACATTTGTGTAGATATTAAGAGCAAATAGCTTCTAGTTGTACGAGCACATGAGGCGTGTTGATGTGCAGACGATGGGGGAGGATCTTGCATTCAGTTGAAGCCCAGATTTTTACAAACGAATGTTCGCAGTTATTATTGCACCAATTATTTATTTTTTATTGAAGTATATATTTAATACAAACATATCTATAACAATTTAGTTAAAAAAAGCAGTACTTATTAAATCTAATATAAATGTCTCTGTTGTACTTTACTTCAATTTTGAAAAAAAGAAGTGCATCCCCTTAAGTAATTTGTGAAGAACATTTTTCCATTTTTACTTTCCGTAGCCAAAGAGAGAAACCTGACTTTGAGTAAATGCCATTCTATGTAAGGAAAGATTATGACACCAAATGTTTCGATTTATACCAAGCACGGTAGTAACTGATATGTACAAAAGGTCTGAGAAATATTCGACCACCTAATTAATCTCTCAACTTTAAATCACTTAATATGCAAAATGCAATAAAAATAAAGAAAAAGTCTCTAAAGTTCTCTGTTTTTACTTCAATAAAAAAATAAATAAATAAACTCAAAATACACAAAAAATATAAACCAGGATTTAACTAGTCACACAAAAGTATCTAGAGGCCTTCCGTAAAAAGGAAACTTGAATATTTAATCATTAATATATTATTGCATTGAATCTTGTGCGTATGACTGATTTAGAGCTTAATGATGACTTGCATGTATGATAGCACTGATTTGATCTAGACAGCATTGATTTGATTAGCACTTATTTCAAATTGTTGCAAGTTTTATTTCATTCTGTTTGAAGACGCAGTTTCAATATATTTTTATTTTTTTTGCAGAAATTCTTTAAGGATTTCTTCAACTCTTCTCATAAATGTTTTCGAGCGAGATAGAATTTCAAGACATATAGTATCGTGTATAAGAGTAGTAATCTTGTTAGAAATACGTGTATTTCGAATCATTGTTTTGCTAGAAAATGAAGGTGTTCTTACCCTTAATTTATAAACTTTCTTTCTCAAATTTCTTTTTAAAATATATGTATATGTATTATAAGGTATTTTCTCCCTCTTTTCTGCATGCCTTCGTGGTATAGCGGTTAGCAAACTCGGCACGTATTCGAGAGGTCGAGGTTCAGGTACCGGCGTGGGCATTGTTCATTTTTCACATCTCCAGTATCAAAAAAACACTCATGATTCTACAATGGCGCCCGAACTAAAAGGTGGTGGATGATGATTCTTCACGACTAGGATTTGGCGATTGGGCAATCTAATCCCTAGTCGCCCTTTAAAAGGGGAGTATATAAGGTTGTTTTCTCCCTCCTTCCAGCAAGCCTTTGTGGTGTAACGGTTAGCACACTCAGCGCATATTCGAGAAGTCCAGGTTCGAGTCCCGTCAATGGCATTGCTCATTTTCACGCCTCCAGCATCAAAATAACTTAATGACTCTACAGTATATTGATTCGTAAATCTGTCTGTAAATCCCAGAGCATTCAACCTAGGAGCTGACATTCATTCCCAGAATTTTACCGAGCCCTATTTGTACTTAGCAGTAGCAAAATGATTACTTTGATCAAGCTGATCTGGCTTTTACCAAAAATTTTCTTTTTGCGGGTGTTAAGCAATTCGAGTTTTAATTCAGTGAATAAGAATATTCCAGAAATCCTGATATTTTTCAGCAAGTGTTTTTGTAAAATCCAGTCCGATCACTCTTTCAATCCATGGCTTCCATCTGAAAACCTAGTTCTCTAGAATCATCATTTCGTAGTATTTGACACGCACTGTTTCAGTATTTAATGTATTAATAGAAAATGCAGAAACTTAAGCAAGGATTTCCATGGCTGGTTCAGCAGGATTTACTTTGTCACGTGTGACAACTTACATGCCTTCGCAACGATTCAGAATTCTTTCGGTCGTAATTCTGAATTTATTTTTTTAAGTTTACTTATTGATATCTTTTCATCACAATTCTAAGTTTCACTGAGGAAATTTAGAATTTCAGTCAACCGTGGAATTTTTCTTCGTGGTAAATCTTTTTTTCATGTTGATTA